TGTGTATTTATTTATTTATTTGTTCATAATCAAGAGAATTATGTCATTTATAACTATTCAACTATTCATAATTAATGGTTAATTCATGTGTATTGTGTATTTAATGTTTACCTTTTGTCATACACTGGGAAAAAAATGGTGCAGGAAATATTTTCACTCAGAAATTGCTAGTAGATTTCACACTTAATTACAAAGAAAATGCAAGTAACACATTGAATTAAATTTGACATTTTGAAGTAGAAAGACTGTAAAACACATTTAAAACATAATTGTAATTTTTTTTGCAACCTTTTCCCCAGTGTATAAATTTAGATTTGTTTTTTGTCCTCATCCAAAAAGGAAACTTACGAATATTTTTGTCTCATTTCTAAGGCTCAGACTTAAATGACATATTATCCATTGGAATTCAGAGTCTTAGCCCAGGCTAAATCTGTGTCTGGGAAATCAGTCCACAGGCTATAATGCTTATTAACTCAAAAACTCAGTTTAGAAAAGTTTTTGTTCTTTCTTCATTCTATCATTTTTTGCCATTTGGAACAACTCAAATTCCCCCACTGACTGGACTGATGTAATCTCATTTTGCGTGTCGGCTCACACTGTCACAGAAGTTAGCACTCATAGCCTATAAAAGCGGTGAGCGCAGCAGCTGGATTTTTTCAGTACCACGGACAGCGCAGTCCTCAGAGATCTGACTGCTAATGCAGAGAGGATGAGTGTGATACCTGTGATACCTTCAGTGTTTGCTCACTCATTAAACTCTTTCAGGACAGTGATACACAGACAGTCTCCACTTTCAGTGATGCTTAGCATTTAACTTATCATTCTTAGAATAGATGAGAAATCTTCTTCATCCTGTAATATCAGATGTCTGGATACTAGCACTGTTGTTAAAACACATACCACTGTTTGTCTTTTGACTGATCTAATACACTACTAATTTTGGGGTAAGATTTTTTTAATGTGTGTAAAACGGAGTTTTCAGCAGCCATTCCAGTCTTCATAGTCCAATCTACATGATCCTTGCATTAAACCGATGAAGTGACATTTAGAATTTTACAAAATATTTATATTTCAATAAATGCTGTTATTTTGAACTTTCTAGTCATCAGTGAGTTCTGAAAAAAAATGACTGTTTCAGAAAAAAGCAGTACAAAATGTTTTTAACATTGAAAATAATAATGTTTCTTGAGCACCAAACCAGCATATTAGAATGATTTGTGAAGGATCATGTGACACTGAAGACTGGAGTAATGGCGAATGAAAATTCAGCTTTGCCAACACAGGAATAAATTATATATTAAAACAGAATACAGTTTATTTAAGTTTTAATAGTATTTCATATATTTAACTGTTTTTACTCTATTTTGTTTTACTTTTAAGGGTCTTAAGATCATAAAAACAGGATATAAAGAAAATTAACATTTTTACTCACTTGTTGTCACATTTTACTTAATTCTGGCGGGCCAGAAATATATATTTTTTCTCTTTATATGTTTGTGTATGTAAAGCTTTTAGTTTTAGTTAGACACAGTACAGTGATTGACATCTTTCTCTCTCATCGTCACTCAGCCTTTTAGCACTTTTTGTCCCCTCCTGGCCTCTGCCATCCCCCCCTTTCCCTGCGGGCTGTCCAGGGGGCTCAGCTGCAGCAGATATGAGCTTGAGCTAGGGACAAAAAGATGAAAGAGTCCTACTAACTCACCGAATCTGTCACAATGCTCCTATAGCCACCCCCACGTTTCCTGATTGCGTGGGCTGATGAGCTAAGGAGCGATTGCTTATGTTGATGTGCTTTAAGACCCATGAGAGCGGCTCTTAAAAAGACACACAGTCTCGCTGAATGCCAGCGGCCCGTGCCGTGGGGATTCGGATGAGAACAGGCTTTGAAAGCCCTCTGACACCGCTCTGATGACTTGTTTACACATTAGCACGCTGAGGAGCTTCTTGAACTCCCTGGAGGGTAATCCTACCTTTTAGCTCTCTGACACTGTGTCTGTCTGCCTTCCCTGCCTCTCGCCCACCCCCCTGAGAACGGGGGTCTTCAAAGCTGCCGGACTCTCTTTGCCACAAAGACTTGGTCAAAAGTTAGAGATCAAATCATCAGAATAAATAAATTAATTGCAGTTTTGAGTTTAATTTAGCTTGGGCAGTTTTCACAGGTTGATAAGTCACTTTGTATGCAGTTGTTTTTATAAAGAAATATTAGAAATGGGAATTGTAAAGATTTAACCGTTTCTGTTCCGATTCCTCTTAATGATTCCAGTTTACATTAATGTAATCCAGTTACATTAATAATTAATGGAAGGAATCTGTTCTATTAATGATTATTTTAGAATTTTTAAGGATTAAATATATGGAAAAAAATAATGCAATTTCATTTTCAAATGTAATAGTTTCATTAAATACTTAGTTTTTTTTAAGTTCCTGCAAAAGTTTACATAGACTTTTTAATGTCTTTTCAGAGCCATTATAAGTACAATCCAATAAATAGCAATAATTATGTATTAAACATGATAAACAAACCAATTGGTAACATTTAATTAATATTTAAGTACTACTGACAAAATCAATAATATATACACATATCATTCAAACGTTTTGGATTGGTAAGAGGTTTTTGAAAGCAAGCTCTTATTTTCACCAAGGCTGCATTTGTTTGATCAAAAATACAGTAAAACAGAAATATTGTGATATCATATAAATAACTGCTTTTAATTGTAATATATTTTAAAATGTAATTTATTTCTGTGATGGCAAAGCTGAATTTTCAGGAGCCATTACTCCGGCCTTCAGAAATCATTCTAATGTGCTGATTTGGTACACAAGAATCATTTCTTATTATTATCAGTGTTTAAAAACAGTTGTGCTGCCTAATGTTTTTGTGAAAACAGTGATGTAATTATTTCAGGATTCTTTGATGAATAGAAAGTATATATATATATATATAATATTAGTATTATAGATATTATTATTATAGATGTCTTTACTGTCACCTTTGATCAATTTAATGCATCCTTGCTAATTAAAAGTATTTATTTTTTAAAAACTCAATCTTTTGAATGGTAGTTCAAAAGTAGTTTTTACTACTTTACCAATGATGAGTTAAATCATACAGTTATAAATTGTATGTTTTACTAAAAAGACCCAGGTCATTAGGGTCAAGCAATATTGTGTATTCAGTTTTCTGAAAACATTGAGTTTGAAGTACAGACCTGTTTTGGAGATCTATCAGAGAAAACATTAACTGTTGTTAAGATGTTTGTTTCAGAGGTGGCAGCCAACCCTCCCGTCTCATTCACAGTTGTAGTGTTAGCTTAACTATAATTGAAGTAGGCCAACCCTGCAGCTTTTTAATCCAGATAGATGGTCTGTCCCATGGTGACTGCTGAATTAAAAGATCAGCATTTATGAAATCTTAGCATTGTCCAAGAGCTCATGTACATCATCCTGTGTCCAGTGGGAGCAGGTCGTTAGTATGCAAATCTGAAAAGACCTAGTTATTACTCTGACTTCTTCACATTCTTTACTCTGTTTCTCTCGTTATAATTGCTTTGGACTCCTTTTAATTTTCAAGCTTATTAATCATATGTAGAGTTATTTAAAATTGCATAAATTAATCTTAGATTAAAAAGCCTTTAACAGACTCAAAACAATTAAAGAGAGAGGTGAGATTTCCCCTGGGTTTGGCAGTTTTACTTTAATAGAGAATTCAGGTGATTATCACACTTTGATATAGGGCTGTGATTAATGTAGTCACACTTTTAAATGAGATTTTCCCATTTATTTATTTTTTTGTTCACGTGTTAGAGAGGTAAAGCAGGGAGACGATAAAGACCTAACTAACAGAGTATTTATTCTGCCTCTCCACTCTGCAAGTGTGCTAAGTTAGCAGCAGGTGGGTTAATTCATGGAGGTCCTGTTTCTGGCATGCTCCAGCACACACACCCAACAGAGGGACACGCAGGTGGTGTGGTTTGTGTGTTTGTGATCCGTCTCAGCACAGCCAAACAAGCAGGTGACCATCTAAGCTCTGATTTATTTCAGGTCGACAGAGACACATCCAAATGTATGTATGTTTGCATTAGTTAGCAGACCTGTTGCATCCTATCAATTTGCATTCTGATAGATAAATAGTTACTATAGCTAACTAAAATTAAGACCTCAATTTTTGTAGCTTATAAAATAAAATAGTATATACAGGTAAAGTAAATTAAAATATTAAAAATAGATATTTTAGCTAGTTGCCAAGGCAACATTTCTCATTAATAATATAGTTTAACTTTATGCACTAAAATAACTCAAATAAAAATTAATAAAAAATATATACACATGTATATAGAAAAACTAACAAGCACACAAAAAAAATACTAAAACTTTAAAATGAAAATGAAATGGAAAATACAACAATAAAAACTGATTAAAAAACAACCCTTAATATCTTAGTGATACTAAAATATTGTTAATGTGCTTAGGCTCTGATTGTTTCTTTAACTTTAGCCACTTTAATGTCTGATTGGTTGATTTTATTACAACTTTTTGGTTTTTGGTATATGAAATCACATTAAAATGTTTTACCATGCCTTCATCATTTTGTCACTTTTTAACTGTCTTTTATGTAATAATTATATATTTTTAACCTGGTCAGAAATATGAAAATCCACAACAAAAAATATTAAGTTTAAAATAATGATAATCTAAACAAATTAAATGCTGAAATAAACCATTTTTATATTTATTTTGTGAAAATGATTTATATCAATTTTTTAAAATATGACTGTCCCACAGCTGTAGCATCATTTCCAATAAACATAGCAATTTTGTCCTAATAGCATTTTTGGAAAAGTGTACTTGTAGTGGAAATATTCATTCATATATATTTCTGTCAGGACCACTATCCTCAAAGATGATTGACAATTAGCATACAGTTTGGATTGGCGGTATGGTTCTGTTCTGGGCAAGAACTCCCTGCGCCTCCATGCAGTCTAGCATGGATGAGAGCAGGGAGAGCAGCAATAACCCCCAGGGTAAACAGAACAGAACCAACATAAATGTATTGCAGATATTGTTAAAGTTCAATCATTTTCTGTACACATTTTAGAATTAGTCTGATTCAAGGAGAATCAGAAGGCTGAATCCCGACTGACAGAGGAGGAGTTGGGGATGGAGGAGGGTAGTTATCTATTGAGCAATGCGAAAACTGCTGATAATACTGAGGGACCTTATGTATGAATGCTTAGATAGGTGTCGTATTCCCATAGGTAGATGGGGATCAGCTGAAGGTCAGCTGATGCGAACTTGACTAACGTGACCTGCCAGAACTAACGCTACGCTTGAGATATATATATATATACATATATATATACTTTCAGAAAGAAAAAAAAAAGAATGACAGAACCTTTGCTGTGATGCATGTATTTGATGATAGTGGACAGTTGTAATAAGTGAAAGTGTAAAAAGTGTGTTTTAAGAGACTCATTTCCAAATTCAAACTTGGGCCAAAAATGCCCATAGTTGAAGAATTATGAGATGAACTCTCTCCATTCTCTCTGGTCTCTTCTGTCAGGTCAGAAAGCAGGCTATCTTTTGGGGGTCAGACCCTCACCTGAGCAGGCAGGCTCAACATGCAGAAGCAGATCTGCATATGACTGCAGCAGGTCTGGTTGTAGAGCTGGCAGCCAGTGCTCGGCTGCCCATGCAGGCGTTGTGATTGATGAGATGGGTGGCTGGTAGAGTCGCCCCTCAGGACTGCCCTCTCCAGCACTGAGAGTGATTAACCTCACTGTGGCACAGGCAGAGCTCACCATTAAGAGGACAGAACAAATGATGGTAGAGCGTTGTCCTCGTTGAAAGAGAATGAAGGAAAGAATGAGAGAGGATGCTGTAGTGGTGAAAGGGTATGAGAAGAACATCAAGGGTGCTCAGTCTTCATCAATTGAACATCGGATTAAGAATCAGTTGTTTGTTTACTGTTGAGAAAGATATGTCTGATTTTTCAGCTTCTTATCAGTTTAGCCTTTTTTCTCTCTTGTAGTTCTCTTGTATTTCTTCTCATTAAGGCTTCCTAATGATTTTGTATTTGGATCACTGTCCTTCAATTGTAAGTTGAACTATTTAATTCCAAGTTAGTACTTGAGATGCTTTGCAGCAGAAAAATCATTAACGCTCATTAACACTGCTCATTCTGTTACTGTTCATTTCTGTTGAATATAGCAAAGAAAATCAGTTGGCATCACCTTGACATGAACATAACAGAAAGCTGTAAACTGTATCCGTGCTTTTCATTTTTCACCACAGTGAGATTTATCGATTCAAAATGATGTTCTTACTGTATGTACAGCCCATCATTTTGGTGTCTTTGAACAAGTGAACATAATTGTTGTTCAGTCTCCATTACTTATTTATATTGCTGTTATGTATCAGTGAAGAATCATTTATTTATCTGCTTCATTCCGTGCTTTTTTTTCTTTTCCTCCCTTCAGGACCACCCCTTTATCATGCAATATAATGATGGCAACACAGAGGTCGTGTCCATGTGGGTGTGCCGCAGTCTAGAGGAGCGCAAAAGCCAGCAAGCACAGAGACTGGTGTGAACAGCAGTGGCACCGGATGGAATTCTGGGAGATGGTGTCCACATTTCCTCACTTTACTCTTCCACTGAACCTAGAGAAGCAGCAGCTGATCTTGCAGCACCTCCTCCCAACCTTGAGTTAAATGGTGCATGGTGAGAGAACTGCTACGAGTCTAATGCAGATTATGCTAGCATCCTGCAAATAGGGATTTTAACCGTGTATGTTGGTTTGCATTGATGCAAATCTTTAACTTTGTTCTTCTGCAGTGGGTTTCTTTTCACTTTCTGTGCAGATTCCAAAGTAAATGTTTCCGCAGAAGATCCTTGCGGGGGGCTGTTGCTTACTCGACTCCGATTTAGTTCCTGTGGGTTTGGATTTGAGTGAAAATGCTGTCTCTGTCTGTACTTAAACAACAATCTGGTTTTGCCAAAACATTGTGGGCACGTCATAAATCATCTTGGTTTTTAAATATATGTTGTGTCAAGCATTGCTCCCTGCTCCAGTGCAAATCATGCTGCTGTTGTTTTAAAAGCTACTTTTTGGTGAGTTTCACAAATGGCCTGCTACAGTTGTGGCAATACACCATTGAAGATGGAAAAATGTGATGCGTTGTTACGGTGGAAGGCAGTGGATGGCTCGGGCGGATGAGCTTTTAGATAGTCCAGCAACAGCCGACAGTAATGATACATGAGAAGCCAGTGGATTTTGTTCTTGCCCTCATCCAGAATAAGCCCAGCTGAGAACTTTATTCAAGGGGCTCATGGTTCCTTTGATTTGTGCATTGCCTTAATCTCTCTTTCAAGGTCATTTTATACAATTTTTGCTTTATGTACACTAAAAGTTGGGGGTCTGTAAGATTTTAGTTTTCCGGTATTCAGTATAGATTATTAAATTGGTCAAAAGTGACAGTAAAGACGGTATTGCAGATTATTTCAAATAAATGTTGTTCTTTTGAACTTCCTGAAAAAAGTATCACAGTTTCCTCAAATATGAAGCAGCACAACTGTTTTCAACATAGATAATAGTAAGTGTTTCTTGAACACCAAATCAGCATATTAGAATGATTTCTGAAGGATCATGTGACACTGAAGACTGGAGTAATGATGCTGAAAATTCAGCTTTGCCAACACAGGAATAAATTACATTTTAAAATATATTAAATTATTTTTAATTGTAATAATATTTAACAACATTACCATTTTTACTATATTTTAAATAAATGCTGCCTTGGTGTGCATGAAAGACTGCTTTTAAAAAAACGTTTAAAAAAATCATACTGACCCCAAACTTTTGAGCGGGAGTGTACATTTTAAAGTTCTACAGCAAATCAGACAACTCTAGTTAATATTTTCCCATAAGTCTTTTATGAAAGAAAATCTATGACATTAACTTCAGATGGGAATTCAGATGAGAACCTGTGTATTCTTAGATCACATTAGCAGATGCAGATTAGCACAGCAGGATCCACAGTACAGGTGCAACTTTTAAGCCTGAATCTGTGTTTCTCCTGAACTTCAAACCAGAAACTAATAAAATCGTGAACTAAGTCCCTATACAACTGCATGCATCTAAATTAACTGACTTCTCTGTATAGTCCTCCTTCACTGAGGATTTTATCAAAGCAAATCAGCAACCTCTTTACATTAACCACACCAAGCCAGCACATCTGCCTTCGTCTTATATTTATGAGCCATTTTAATGTCTTATCAGTATTACTAAGTATTTTCTCATCAGTGCTACTAAGGATTTTTTTTTAAATGCAAGTGCCAGATATTTTTTATTTAGATATTGTGGTTCATCCCTGCCTGTGTCTTTTGACATTTAAAAAAAAAAAAAATCTTATTACACCGGTGGATACGACTGCCATCAACACAGTGGAAGAAGAGCATTTTATGTAACGGAGATAGTTCTTAAAATGTAGTTGTCACATACCAAAAGCAAATATGTTACATTGTTAGGGTTTTTTTTAAGCTATATTATAAGTTATATTGTTTGTTGCAACTTTTTTCTTTATATGTACAACTGTCTCAAATTAATTTCTTAGATTATAATGACAGTTGGCCAAAACAAAATCTATGAGGAACAAAACCAACCATGTGGCTACCTAATACAATTGAGGTGAGGTTTGCACATAAAGGTGATTTTTCTCAATAAAACCTTTCAGATCTATTTGTTTCATTTGTCTGCATTTCATAAAGTTTCCCTGTTTTTCACGATAATCCAAACTAGATTTACATGATTTGTGAAGAAAATATGTGATGCTGGTGCTCATACAGCACACCATTCTGGACCATTTGAGGGATCATGTTTGAAGCAAAAACATGCAGCATGAGTTAGTTTCTCTAAATAAAATTCAGCAATGCAAGACTGTATGGATTTGACCATGCAATGTTCGCATAAATGTATTTACATTTGGCTGTCTGTATTCTAAGGCCTGTTTAAGTTATTTATAAGAGAAATAATGTAGTATATGGTATTATATACCTACTTTCATCTTCAAAGACACTATTCATTTAAAGATACTCCTCTGGATTAGGTTTAGGTTTATCCCTCAGATGATTAGCATTACATAGTTTACACTTTGTGTGTTTGAAAGGATGGTATTTGATTACACATAATTCATTAGCGGTCATGGGATGCAGTTTTGGTCCAGTGTTTTCCGAGTGTTGGGGTCCGTACAGGATGACTACAATGAGGAGGACAGGAATCTGATACGGAGGTCGGAGTCACTCTCCTCTCCACATGAGTGCATATTGAACCGGATCACTGTGTTCACTTACACAGTCCAACCTTAATGTTTACAATAACACCATGCATCGGATGTAACATTATGGTGATCAATACAAAAAGCATAATGAATATCCAGACGGAATGATGTTAAAGAGCTTGCTTGCCTGTGATCTATCTCTATATATATATATATATATATAAAAGGTAGCAAAAAATAAACATTATCAGCCCTTGTTTAAATAAAAAAACATGACTATTACAAACTCTTTCTATGATATAAATAAATCGCAAAACGTGAGACTCAGTTAACAATATCAACTATAACTGTAGTTAGTCCTTGTCAATGAAAACTAGCCAAACAATTTTAAGTCATTTTGTCCCACGTTTGCAGTTTAGGGTCAAACAACAGTCCAATCAAACTGGACTGTAGGAGAAAGGTCTCATTAGAGCAGCAGTATATGGGCCCCATCAGCTAAAGGCCCTCAGTATTCCTCCTCTTTCAGCTGTTGGGGCCCATATAGCCTACTGCTGCTCTAATGCGACCTTTCTCCTGCAGTCCAGTTTGATTAGCGCGGGGGCCGGACGAGCACCGAAAGACCTGTTCACAGCCATTACCAAGATTCCTTTATCAATGTCTAGTAATTAAAATGTCACCACTTAATTTTCAGGCCATGGTGAACCTCTTGTAGCAATCTTTTCCTAATAAAAACAGTAATCGAAACGTTATTTTCACTCGAAACAAAAAGGTTGCGGCAGGCGATTCGGGGGTGTCAAGGCGACAGAGATCAATATGAGAGAAGCTGATTGATCTCGCGCTAAAGTGAAATTTATTGGGGTCGTGCTTTTATACTGCGCGGATATAACGGTGACCGTAGAACACTGCTTTTCAGCTGATGCGTTTATTAAACCTCTCTTGCTGAATTAGTCTGCCTTTGATTTATGTGCCAATCTTCGCAATGACCTCCAGGACAGCATCTCGTATTTTTCTAAAACACATGGTTTAAATCTGAAGTGTTTCCGTCTTTGTTGTTATCTGAACTTGTTAGTGCGTTCTTTGAATAGAACGAGCTTCTTAAAAAATGTAGTTTTTTTTACTCTTTATGCTGTGGCATGTTTAAATAAAATTGGTGATTTGACTATCAACCCACTCCAATAAATAAAATAAAATAAATAAAAAATGAAGATTTGCCTGGTCTCTTGGCCATTGTCTTTAGTTGTTTAAAACGGCAACCAGAGGGCATCAGCTCAAACTGTCCTGTAAGGGTGTCAAGTCAGCTGATGATTGCATAGCTTTCTTAATGGGCATGCCTTAAAAAATAACTAGCGGTTGTGTCTGACTCATTCTGATAATACTGACTACTATAATCAGTTTTTTAAATCTATTTCTGTTGTCCGAACAATTTGTCACCATACTGACAGATACAAAATAAAGGGAGATTATATATAGGTCTGTGCGGTATAGTATTAAACTAGATTAAACTCATTTTACTTCATATATTTATTATATATATATATATACTCTCAGCACATTAGCAAAACTTCATGTGCAATAGGTACTACAACTAATTATATTTTAAGAACATGTTTTAATCCTAATGTTAAAAGAACAGTGCACTAGGCTATATGAAGACGTTTTTTCTCAATTCTTTACTCAGCAACTGGCCTATATAAAGTTTCTTTCATTAGTTTACTCATGCTCGTGTAATATAATAGTTTGTATATTAATGAGCCAATAATGGCATATGTCGTCCTGAAACACAATATTTATCGTATTGATTCAACCGTTATGTAAAAACAATCATTGATTATTTAATAGCATGTCAGAGAGGTTACTAAGCACATAAAGTTTAACACAAAGCAACCTGGCCGGTAGTAAAATTAATAGTGATAAATATATCCAAATATTAAATGGCTAAATACATTTTTGTTAGAGTGATTTAAATATTTTGAGGTTATAAATGAACCTGCACTGCTTACACAGTTTACAAGGGATATTCTTCTCAAAGGTCTGACTAAATGATGGTGGCTTGTTTAAAGACGGTTGTTGTGTAGCTGTACCTGTTCGTGGGAGGATCCTGTCTTGTAGGACATGTGAGCCCCTGTCTCCCCGCCATAAACACTAACAATGCTGCATTGAGTCTGACCTCTAAATAATTAACAAGAAAGGAATAATTACAGAATAAAATTGTAATTATTGTTGGGCCAGAACGAAGCTTCTTGGTTGTGAAAGGAGACACGACCAGGCAGATCTGGTTAAAGTTTCCCTTCCTATTAATATTGAATTAGGTTAAGCCGGTGGCCCCTTGGTCACAGAGCATACTGAGCATCGCTTGACAGATTTTTAAACTTTCCCATTTGTTTTCAACTCTTGACGATATAAGCTAACTATATGCTTTATAATTTATTTATTTATTTTTCGCTCAAACATTTTGGAATAGTTTATAATAAAAACGCATCCGTTTAGTCTACTTGTGTCAGACTAACCCGATCTCATGAAAGTGCGTATAAATAGTACGCCAAATAAAAACGAAAACTCGTGGTAGGCCTATTGATACGCAAAACTTGACTTTGGCGTGTATATCCCACGCGATGGGTAGGATTAGGGTTGTGGGGTAGATGTGTATCATATGTACGCGAAAACTGCGTATCATATGCACGCCAACAAATTTCGTATCATATGCACGCGAAAACTGCTATTATATGCACGCCAAACAAGTGCGTATCATATGCACGCCAAAGTCCATTTTTGCGTATCAATACGAGTTTTCGTTTTTATTTGACGTACTATTCATACGCATTTTCATAAGACCGGGCTCGTCAGACAGCCAATAATGCAACCTATCCATATGCCTATGTTCACTTAACGCAAAACACGGTTTAGCTCGAAGGCAGTTCTGAGGTAATGGCTCTGCTATGAAGAACCGTCCCTCTAAGGCATTTTTTGGACATTATTAACTAATTGATTCCGGGTAGGCTAATTGTTAACATTTTATATAATTAACTACCGTTTAATCAGGTCTGTCTTTACACAGCTCTGACACCTCAACGAATAACGGAAGGTAATAAAATATAGACGGTGGCTGGAATAATTAAATGGGTTGGAAAAATGTATCAAAAATAAGGTGAACATATCAGTTGTTTAAAACAGACTACAGTGATTTTTTAACCAACGTCTGTCTTTGCAAACCCTCCTTCCTAAG